TTAACATCAAAAAACTATAAGAGGAAATGATGCCTATCATTGTTATTATTTAAAATCAGAAGGAAAATCTATTAAATGTAATAAAATAGAGTGAGGAAGATATACAGAATAAATTTTACTCGAGTCAAAAGTAACTGAAAAATTCAGTAAATATAAAATGTACAACATAAATAGAACAGAAGTCTATAGATATCCTATAAACCTAAACAAATCAATAGTAAAGCAATAGAAAAAATATTTTTAATATAAATAACAAAAAAAAATTACCAAGGAAAAAAACTTAAGAAAAACAAGTGGACTTAATTGAAGGGAAAAAACTGAAACTTCACTGAAGGGCATGAGAAAGACGTAAATTAAGACACATACTTCTAGCTCTGAAATTTATTTTTCTAATAGAAGATTTCACATTTAATGCATTTTGAATCAAAATTCCTTTGAGGTTTCCTTTTTTAAAATTAGAAAAGTGATCCCAAACTTCATATGAGAAACATTAACTGGTCTGAAAATAAAACCAAGGAAATTTTTTAAAAAGAGGGATAGCATAGTAAGGGGAGTCTGGTCCTACGAGTTTTTTAAATAGTTAATAGTTAAAATATTAAAATTGATCCTTGGATCTTCCAAACCACAAGTCCGCCCACAGACAGGGCCAGCAGAGTTAGGAGAGGGCAACTCAACTTTTCATAATTGAAAGAGGAGGAAACATTATAGACTCTGTCCAAAATAGCATGAAAAGACAGGAAATAGGAATTCTACAGAACCTGGTTGGAAATAGAAGTTGGAGGGGGAAAAAAAAAAAAAAACTGTTTATCCCCATCCCACTGTGTTAAAAGTGATCAATAAACTGATTACACATAAAAAAAAAAAATGGTATGGTACTGGAATAAGGACAGAAAATATCAAGGAAAAAAACTGAGTCTAAAAGGGCTTTAAGTAAAGTTAAAAGTTGTATTTCAGATTAGTGTGTTAAGAGAAAAAAATTATTCAAAAAATGAGGCTGGGATAACTAGTTAGTAATATTCAGAAAAAAACTGAAATTAGTGCCTTATCTAATGGCATTCACCACGACTAAAGGATTATATATGAAGAGTGAAATAAGAAATATCTTTAAAAAAATCTAGGAAAAATACACAGGTATTCAGCTGCTAGTGGCATGGCGAAGTTATTTCTAAGCATAACAGCAGTGCTGCAAGCTGTAAAGAAAGTGGCTAAATCAGACTACTTATAAAGAGATTAAAACAATACACAGTAGTCTTAAAAAAACATTTACATTTTAATAGTTAATATCCTTAATATATAAAGGTCCATAAACCAGCAACCTCAATTTTGATAATATACACTAAATTATATCATCAAGAATGTTTGCTGCAGTGTTGTCACTGTTCCCCCTTCAAGAGTTGTGTAAACAGTGGGGCCAAATTTGGTTAAACAATAACAAGAACATATACAAAAAAAAGAAGGCATTAGGAAAAAATAAAAAGAAATAAACCAAAGTGGTTCTTTTTAGGTAGTAAGATTTACTGGTACTAGTTTTTTTTTTTTTTTAATACATTAATAACTGTTTCCCAAAATTGTAATGATGAATACATATTACTTTTGTAATTCAAAAATAATATAAACACATTATTGATCATTTTCATAAACACAAGATTATCAGAATTCAAAAGTTTCAACAAATACAAAAGTTCAGGATCATTTGTAAATTAAACTTTTTGCATGCTGAAAGCCCCTTAAAGCTTTCTGTTCCTATTAGTATCTTAATTTAGTATGAAAATAGAGTTAAGCCAGTCAATGCTGTCTTAGATTATATCTTCATTTTTTCTCTCAAAGGGATTTTGACTTTAATGACTGTGAAAGGGATTAGTTTCACAAAAAGTACATCTGAACATCATTGCAATAAATTATACAAGGGTCTAAATGCAATAAAACAGCTTAAAATAAAGGTATATTTCATATTAATAACATTTTTTCAGTGAGTATTTAAAATAGAATCAATTTAAGACTCGTCATTCTATGTTAAGTTTTTATGCAGGAAACCTCATTAAGGTACTCCAAATAGGAAGGTGACTAGTCTAAAAGGCCATTAGGAAAGAGCAAAATTTCTCTAAAAATCTTTATGGAGAAGAATGTTATTTTGTGTCTAACTGAAGTCTCTTCTGTGATTTAAAACTCTTGTACTTACACTTCATTTTGCTTTCTTTAGATAACACAAAATAATTAAAAAACTTTTAACTAGCTATTTCCTGATACTTTGATCTACTTCTTGCCTGTCTATAGTCCTACATTTTTCACCTCTCAAGTTATTTGAACCCACAGGGCAAATTATGGTTTTAGGCAATGCATAATCAAATGAAAGAAAAATTTGAATTCGGAGCTCCCACATGCAATGATGATGTGGACACACAAATATACTTTCTTCTTAGCCCATGTCATGCTAATACATGTTACTGTGGGTGTCTTATCCCTGCTGTATTATTTATACGCATGTATACTAATTGTATGTATACTAAGTCATATTTTGAGCAGCTTACTTATTCAGCCTAAGTGGAAGCCATAGCTAACTTTATTTCTAACTACTTGACCAAGCTTTTCTACCCACACAGTATGCTATCACTCAAATTTAACAAATTTGCCTTCTCACCCATTATGAAACACTCATGGAATCTGAGTTCTAGCCCTATATTGGCCCCTAACTAGTTTTGTGACATGGGGAGAGTCACCTAACTTCCCTGGGTTTCACTGTTTTCATCTATACAATGGGGACAGGAGTGCACTAAAAGACTTAAGTCTTAAAAAACACTGAAATTTTATTGTCAATGTCAGGGATCAGAGACCCTTCTAATCACTCTTAATATTAAATTAGTGTCTACTATGTGGAAACCCTGTAGGGAATGTAACAGAAAATCAAGTATATTCTTAGTGAAACGGTTTTTGAACTAAGATACCCAGACTGAGGTATAGTACTACACTGACTATAAAGAGAGGCATAATCATTAGCACAATTCTTTCACATTCCATGAACAGAACGGATATTTCTTTGTCACGTTAGTATAAAAAATTTCCCTTACCTACTACTTCCCCTTTCAACTCTAGTCAAAGTCCCTTCCTTTTATCTGTGCTGCTCCCCACTACAACTCCAAATTAATTACTCAAAATTGAAGCTCCCACTGCTTCCACAAAATGATGGAGTGCTTTATTTCTCTTTTGTTTAGGAAAAACCTGTAACTTTTCATAATGAAAAGAATGATGAGGGCTTATGGGAATCTCAGAAAATGATTTAATAGAAAAATATAACAATTCTTTGTCAAAGGCAGGAAACCTTTCGGAACATAAGGACTGCTTTCCTGGGTCAGAATCACACTTCCACAAAGTTAGGGTGCTGTCCCCAATGACAACACAGGAAAGGGTTCTACAGTGGAAAGAGGTCTTTTCAAAAAATATATATCTTGACTCTTCTTATTAATTCATTATGAAAATGTCATATATTATTTTGTCCAATTTGCCTTCTGGGAAACTTGCAAGGCATCTCTGGATAACTGGTTCCTCAACATTTCCTACTTGAGACAACTTTTAGAATTTTAAAGCTGTAAGAAACCTCATACTTGTTCAACTGCCTCACTTTATAGATAATGCGTCTGACAAAAAGAATGGTTAAAACACCTGTCTAGGTTACAAATTTAATGACAGAATCTATTCTGTTGATACTCAGTCCAGAGTTCCTTCAACATATCACATGTTTACTGATATTAACACTCTTTTAATTAATGAATATTTGCTTCTTTGTAGTTTTACAGGGTTATCTGTTTTAATTAGTTAAGTTTAGTGAAAAATTAATACATACATATTTTTCATGAATGGGAGGGGCTGTGTCTTATTCATTGCATCCTCAGAACTTAAGACAGGGTCTGGCACATAGCAGGTATTCAACAGGTGGTTATAAATTAAGAGAATGAACTTTATAGATTTGGGTCACACACACTCTTAGCTTTAATTTTCTTAAAGAGAAAAAAATCCAAAGCTCTTCAGTTTAACTTTGTTCCCTTGATCATTTCAGACATTTTTCTCTAGACTTCCTCCAGCTCCATTATGTTCCTTAAGGTGAGGGAGTCACAATTTTGAATGAAGGTAGAAGTTTTCTTTCTAGATAACCAAAATCTCAGTAAGTGTAGTGTGCCTTTGCATCATTTTACACTGGTTAACAAAGCATTTATTTGACACTTTTCTTTCAAATTGTATAAGTACAACACACGAATGCTTGTTGGTTTGACATTTAAATACTCTGAAAATTTTGGTTTTATTTACTCTGTCAGAATAAATTCCGTCTTCCACATCAATTATAAAAATGTTAAATAAAACTAGACTTAGCAACTACTAAATTTTCTTTATCCAGAAAGGCCCATTAGTTTCTATATTTATGTTTCCTGTATTTAAATAAATTATCTGTACAAATGACATTATTTGAATGTCTAATATGTATAAGCCACTGAACTCCCGCATTCATGAATAAGTAATTCACAATACTCTAGAAACTTAGCTTTTTTTTTTTTTTTTGGTTGGTATAGAGAAGCATTAGAAAAGTTCTGGACATATGAAAAAGGCCTTTAAGAAGTCTAAATAAAAAACATGTTTTAGTTTTCCCTTACACACTGATTTATTTATTGCCTTCCACTGTTCTTCTAACTCCAGACACACCCTTCCTTTCATCCTTAAGAACTCTATAGGAACCCTTTCATTCAGCAATCCTATACCATTATTTCTACCCTCAAACATCCCTCCTATCATCCAGAAGAACTCTAGAGAAATCCTTTTACTCAATAATCCTGTCCTTTACGATACATGCTAACAGAGAAGCTTAGAGATGGAAAGAACCTTAGAAATCTCTAAGTCAAAATCCCATATACTAGCGTGATATTCACCAATGATAAAACAAATCACTACAGCCAACTATAGTACTTAAGCTCTTTAACACATCAGCATGCCTAATATATGCACATGATACTTACTTGTACTCATCATAGACTTCCTGTTTGGGCAATGAAGTCTCAGGATGTTCTTCTAGGGTATTTCGAATCCAGGAAAAGGCATGCATTTGCTGTGCCCGACTAGATGACACGGCATTCTGATCACTGATTGTAAAACAAAAACGTGTTTTAGCTGAACCAGACAGCAATTAATTGATAATTTTTGAGCCAGGCCTATAAGCTCCATTAAAGAATTGTGTGTAAACACACTATAAATGACCAAATCAAACTCAAGCCATATAGTAGATGCCCAGTTATCTATATGCAAATAGTCCACCTGTGGTTGTGAGCCATTTTCCATAGCTAGTGACTGACTGAAGTTATTGCCCTGTTCCATCCCTCCTGATGGGCTCTACACTGACAACATAAGGTATCTGTTTTGGTGAAAATGACCTCGAAGTGGGTATTTGTTCACTTACTTGCCTGTTCATTTGCTTAAACTTACCAAATCATCAAACTTTTAAGTTGTGGAAAAAATATTTTCTATTTGCTTAGCATGTTTCCAAGTAACTACCCTGAAATCTTATTAAGCACTCCATGCTCCAGAATGCAATTCACACCAGAGAGATCATGAGAGGACAAATCTCCTCCTACAGTCCTTCCTGTAACTGGCTCCCCTCCCCATGCCAATACTTCTACTAAACATCCTAAGTTTTTACTATATGGCAGCATCATTTAAATATAAACTAAACCCATAAAATGGACACCCAAGATAACATGAGGGAAGATCCTCTACTGATTCTGACATTCATCTCAGCTAACTATAACAATAATTTATTTAATTCCAAGGAAGACAGTGAGCGAGTTTCTAGGACAAAAAAATGATTAAAATGGTTATAAAATTTGGTTTGAGGGAGAAGAGGTAAAAGCAACAGATTTTTCATGCCATTTCTTTTCATACACAATTTTAAAGTAACAGAATTTTAAGTATAACTTACATGAATGAAATGAAATTTGAGAAATACTAAGAAGGATAATGAAACTTCTAATAGAATACATGAGCTAACAACTTCTCTATTTTCTACATGATACTATTAAATATTTTTAGTAATGAAAATACAGCAATATTCCCAAACACACTTAAAGTATCTTACATTTATAATAAATTCATGTTCCATATATGCAATTTAACTTTTTCTTTTTTATATTGTCATCTATTCACCTAGCAGTAACTAAAAAAACTCCTTTAACTTCATTGCTTACAATATGTATCTATTTTTTGCTTTTCTAATTTTCACAATCCCTCACACTGCATAAATATATTGATTTGTTTAAAAAACATAACCCAAATTGCATTTCATAGCATTTATCCAGAAGCATAAATGAATCAGTAAAAACTATAAGTAAACACTTAATCAAATATGATCAAAGATTAAAAGATCTATTGTTTTGCCATTCTGTTTTCTGATGATTTTAGGAACAGTACACAACAATAACAACCATGACACACACCCCACACACACCTTAGGGATGTCCTATTAACACTGTAATTAAGGCAAAAGCAAGAAGAGATATACCTTTTCTCTCCATTGCTGAGACCAGAAGGCAGCTGAAGGTAGAGGTAGAGTTTCTCTAGGTCTGTAAAATTCTCAACTTCTTTCTGGTTACAACAGATGAAAAGGAAAACATCATTTTTAAAACACTTGTTTATCCCTCAAAAAAATTTACTAACACCTGTGTACTGTTGGTAGGAATGTAAATTCGTGCAGCCATTGTGGAATACACTATGGCGGTTTCTCAAAAAATTAAAAACAGAAATACCATATGATCTAGTAATTCCACTACTGGGTATTTACCCAAAGAAAATGAAACCATAAATTCAAAAAGATATATGCATCCCTATGGTTATTGCAGCATTATTTATAAGAGCCAAGATATGGAAGCAACCTAAGTGTCCAGTGACATGAATGGATAAAAAAGATGTGGTACAGATATACAATGGAATATTACACAGCTATAAAAAGGAATGAGATCTTGCCATTTGCAAGGACATCGATGGACCTAGAAGGTATTAAGCTAAGTGAAATAAGTCAGAGAAAGACAAAACCATGTGATCTCACTCATATGTGGAATCTAAAAAATAAAACAAACAAAAAGAGCAGAAACAGACCCATAAATACAGAGAACAAACTGGTGGCTGCTAGAAGGGAGGAGATGGGGGATAGGTAAAATGGGTGGGGGAGCAGAAGATACAGGCTTCCAGTTATGGAATGAATAAGTCATAGGGATGAAACATACAGCAATAGAAAATATAGTCAATGACATTTTAATAGCAATGTATGGTGACAAATGGTAGCTACACTTGTGAGCACAGCATAATGTAGAAACTTGTTGAATCACTGTCATACACCTGAAACTAATGCAACATTGTGTGTCAACTATGTTTCAATAAAAAATAATAGTTAAAAAATACTGACTGTCTAAATTTAAACCAGATGGAATGAATCACCTGCCAAAGAAAAAATTTAGGCTTTTTTCCTCATCAGTAAAATAATAGTTGTTTGATAAATATACTTCACATAAAAAGTTACTAAAAGAAAAAAAATGGTACTTTCCTTTTAATTCTTATATTCTAGATATAAATAAAATCAATGCTTAGACAAAAATTTCTCAGTTTTAATCACATTTAAAGAAGGAAGACTGCACAGGATTATAGGAAAAGTATAGACTAGAAGTAAAAAGAATATTCATTAGTTAGACTTAGCCTAACCATTTAACTGGCTATGAAGCTTTGGTTCTCTGGCAAATTTTCCTTACAACTGTAAAATGGATACGATGACTTCTATGATCCTTTTCTAATTCTCAAAAACCTCGAACACATGACTGATGATACTACTGTCACATGGGGATAGAACTGAGGTTTAAAAATATTGAAGTACTACCAACAACCCTTTCTACACAATGCAGATGTAATTATTTGTAGAGTTGCAGCAGTGGCTGCTATTTGGAGGACGTACTCGTAAGATTCTCTATAGCTATTCTGCAACTACATCCTTTTGTCTCTAAACCCATCCTTTAAAATAATTTCTGCTACACAGAGGACTGTATATAGCTTTCTTTCCCAGCTCTGTTTGCCACAAAGTAGCTTTAAATGTGCCACAAACCCTGTTACAGTAAAAATATCATAGTGAAATTCTGGCAGCCTAATTCAAGCAAAACTCCATTGCAATTGAAAATGTGGACAAATTATTGGCATTCCTGGTAGCAGAATTTATTCTTACATAATAAAACACAGCTTAAACACAGATCCAATTTTAAAAAAAGTTTAAAACAATATAACTTAGACTATTCTTACTCTCACCAAAATTCATCTATAAAACAATTTAATCCTAGAATTGATCCACAAAGTGATTTAATCTATCAATTACATGTAAATAACTCCCAAATCTACTTTCTTTTTTTCATTTCACTGTCTATGCGGTCTTTTTCCAATTAGTTTTCACTCTAATACCGAATAGATTTATCAGCAATATCTTGTATAACTCTCCTAAGAAAAACAAAACACACATAGACATTTTTTTCCCCAACTGTTACTTAACACCTTCTTTTCTCCAGTTCCCCAGTATTCAGTTTTAGAATATGCTTAATTTTGTTCCTCATCATACATTCCACTTTATTTAGCCCTCTTAACTCTTTACCCCGTATTCCTCCAGGCTCTTTGTTTTCCTTGTCACTATATAAGTCTAGGTGTTTAGCTGTCTTTCTTTTAACAGTAAAGGATAATTCATTTACTCACTTATTTATTCATTAATTTTATTTCCTGCCACAAATGATTTGCAATAATTACGAACTCACAATGAACCTACAAAGACTGGAAATACACAAATGAACAACACAATAGTCCTTGCCCTTAAGGAACTTAGAAAGATTCGTAATCACTAAAAAGTACAACACTAGTCGGTTTCCCTACCTCCAACCTTTCCCCACTTGAATGTATCTTAAATATAGTTCCTAAAATACTTTCTACTGAATATTATTAACATCACCTACCTAATCTCAACAATGCTTAACAATATTAAATCCAAAGTAGATTATGTTACAAAAAAACCCATATAAGAAGTTAAGTTCTCAAAGTAAAGTTATCGAAACCGATTTCAAGTTGAGGGGAAACCTCAAATATTACCTAGTTAGTTGAATGAACTAAGGTGATAATTTCCTACTATTATGGTCGGATCTCTCTCTTTCTCTTCTTTTTTTAGAGAGGGAGAGAGAAGGGGCAGGAGGGAGAGGGAGAGAATCTCAAGCAGGTTCCACACCCAGCACAGAGCCCAACATGGGGCTTGATCCCACAAACCTGAGATCATGACCTGAGCAGAAATCAAGAGTCGGATGCTTAACTGACTGAGCCACCGAGGTGCCCCAAAGATCTCTTCTGAAAACTTATGAGAACTTTTCTCTCATACATTTAACTCTTTGTAAGAAGATACACAAAAGGAAATCTTTAAACTAAAGTTTGATTTAGATGTCAAAAAACTTTCCAAGAAACCACTTTAAACTTAATTTTGCATGTGACCTAGTTAGTGCTTTGATCTTTCACATCCTGAACAGAAAAGCCTGTAGCAAACAATCAGATTCAGCACTCAGTTTGATATCATGTGATCCAGAGGGGGAAAAAAGGTGTAATGTAAGATAAGCAAAATCAAGTTACTTTTGGAGGCTCAAGGTAGAGTTTGGTATTACCACTGAAAATCCCCTTCCCTTCTGAAGTTTTGGCTGATAAAGAATATTCATTCACACCACGAACTAGTAGCATGGAGCTATCTAATTCCTTCTATGAGGTGCAAGTAAAGTGGTAAAGAGAACACAGAACAGAGACAGCACTCATCAATATTCCATTTGCTTACCTACATTTCTCAGTTTCCTTTGCAGCTAGTATAGGACCATGAATGGAGCACAAATGATATATTTCATTTCTCAGTTAACATAATTAAGAATCAATGCTCCATTTTCTTTCTCCCTTTGTGCACCTGGGGAGTCATGTATTTCACTGGGGAAACTATAACATACCAGTGTCTCAATGGGGGTTCCCAAGGGACTATGTGAAGCAAGGGCCTCCAATGATCTGTGCTTTACATATAATATGAATGAAAGTAAATTTGTGTGGTTATGCCACTGGTACTTCAGGCTTACTTTGTTATGGCAGCACAGTCTAGCCAACTTGATTAATAAAGAAAGTTAGACTTTTCCCTCTAGCACTTCTGAGAGGACTGAAGATCCCTTTTCCATATGTAGATAAAAATGTAAGGAGGGGAAAAGGATTCCTCTCTGTTATCACAAAATCTTTTATTCAATCATTTTTAGAATAGTATTTAACTTACTGTGAAATTTCAAATTAAATTAACCACGAATATTATTTATCAAAATGGAATATAAGCTAAAAAGAAAAAAAAGGTTAGAATATACAGCCTTCATATTCTCTTCCACTTAACTTTTACTTCTAGAAAAAAACAAAACAAACCAAAAAAACCCTACTTTGGGCACCTGGATGGCTTAGTTGGATAAGTGTCCTACTTTTGATTTCAGCTCAGGTCATGATCTCAAAGTTGTGAGATCAAGCCCTGTGTGGGGCTCTGCATGGGGCATGGAGTCGGCTTAAGATTTTCTCTCTCCCTCTGCACTCCCCCTGCTAAAAAACAAAACAAAACAAACGAAAAACAAATACTAAAACCCCCAAAAAACCTACTCTACTTCTACTCTATTAATTTTGGACACATGATACTATAATATGCCTATATGTCCCTCTACTTTGGGCCACAGCAATTACTCAAGAATTTATATTCAGTTAACTTGCATTTGCTGGAGGGTTTTTTGCATTTACTGTTCAAAAAATGATTTTCAGTGTCTAGTTATACCTTCCCCCCTCAACTAGACTGAAGATTCTAGTTTGCCCAAATTCAATCACCTTTTTATTTTTTTTAAGATTTATTTACTTATTTGAGAGAGAGCGCACACACGCAAGCAGGAGTGGGGGGAAGAGCAGAGGGAGGGAGAGTGAGACTCCTCAAGCAAACTCCCCAGTGAGCACATGGAGCCCAATGTGGGGCTGGATCCCAGGACCCTGAGATCATGACCTGAGCTGAAATCAAGAGCCAGCCACTCAACCACTGAGTCACCCAGACGCCCCAAACTCAATCTTTTGAAACAGAATCCTGAAAGATAAGACAGAGCCAGGTGAGGATCCTTTTAATATTTTAATATCCCATTTAATTTTTTAAATTTAAAATTATGAAGCATTTCAAACAAAGTACAGGAAGCAGGTACACATGCACCACTATTCATATTTAAAAGATGCTAACTTCTGGCCATATTTGCAAATTTGTTGACTTTAAACATTGTACAACAGCTGCATGGATTAAAACCAGCTTATTCATTCTTTACTGATAGACAGTTTATCATAAAGTTTCATTATTTCAAATAGTGCTACAACAAAAATCCTTTATTTTTGACTGCTGTATCTTTGTGCAAGAGTTTTTTTTACGGTAAATACTTAAAAGTAGAAATACCTGGTCATCAAGGATGCACACCTTCAACTTTACTGGGTATTTCCAAATTACTCCCTGAAACCATTATGCCAATTTATATTTCCAACAGCAAAACTAC